GGGCTGCAAGCTGATCACTTAAGCAGACGGAAGCCAGGTAGAAAAGGGGTAGTAATCAAGGTAAAATCAGTTTTGTTTATAGTTCTTATGAGTTCTCTCGTCAGTTCTACCAAGTATCGTTTGACTCATTTGTCGACTGTGATTCTCGACCTCAGTTCATGCTATATTCTATTTGTTATTACGCGCCCAGTGGGCAGTTTTCTCTTTGTTTATTGAACTTTATTTGTAATCAATAGTTATTGGTATATTACTGAGTGTTTGACGAGTGTCACTAAGAATTTCCTGATTGTAAGGTATAAAGGTAAAGTGAGAATAAAAGGATTAAGTATTAGACAAGGCTCCAACATAAGAAGATCTCATCCGAGAAGGTAAGTAAAACGTAGAAGTTTAGGAGATTGGAAACAGATAGGTCGAAGATCTCAAGTAGTAAATACAGTCCATTAAGCTACAGTCCGTATTCGTTGGTAGCTGTGATTCGTAAGTGGCTAATTACGGTCACAGTTAATCGAGTGTATTACGAGAAGGACCCACGTAGGGTGTGTACGGGGGACTACTGTGTTGGTAGTGCCTCAACTTAGAAGGGTGTGGGTTTAGCCACCACACGACCCTTTGAGGACTGGTTAAGGAAGATACTATCGACGACGGAATGAGGTATTAGTAGAACACTTTGAATCTTATGTTGAGACATTTGCTTGATTTATACTACTCTTTTCTTTTTGGTAATAATATGTACAGTATGTACAGTGTGGTGATGAAGATTGCAAGTTAGACAGAAGCCTTCTGCTATAAATAAGACGATTCCGGAAAAGAATTATTCTAATGATACAATACACCAGAGTCGTTAAGCACTAGTTCACACCCTAGATGGTACAGTTTTGGCAAAAAAATACATGCATAACGGATTAAGCAGCAAATTTAAGAAAATTAGAACTTTGAAGCAATAATTAAAACGGTAAAACAATACTTCTAGACTTATAAAGCAAAATCCCTATAAGTTGTAACAAAGCACGACTTACAAAGTATAAAGCACGAAGGTTAAAAAAATTAAAAGAATGTCAAAAATCGTTCGCTTGACAGAAGAATGATCGATTTTAAGAAGATTTCAACGAACAGAATGAGCAAAAATTTTCTGCCCTCTCACCACTATTTTCTGTGTGGTCAGATAGGTGGAGATGATCAATTGCCTGCTGCCTAGAACAATTCTCCTTCAGTTTGGTTACCTCATCTTCTTTTCAGCCAATCGAGTCAATTCTAATCGTCGTGTGGCTCTGTTTCATTACCATAAAAAGAAGAAATGCAGCCACTAAACTGAAACACAGCCCCGAAATTTCCTCCTGGGAGCAGACCGGTAGTTAGCACAGTACTGCTTGAGATGGCCATTAATGTGCTTCCCCGACACTCAAAGCAAGGTTGAAAGACAACGCTGCGTCTAAGTGAACATTCTACTGGCTAGAAAGCAGAAGCGTAGAAGATCGAAGATAAAGGTGCAGAAATGATGAATATTTTAAATATTCAAATACGTGTCATATTACAAGTAAAATTAACTCATAAGAGGTTTAGAACTGAAAAATAAGAAAAGAAAATAAAAATAAATTGTCTGTATTTCTTGAAGATGTTACTTCATTATTAAAACCTCTCCTAGCTATAGGTCTCCCCATAATTCAAAGCAACGTCATATTATTTCTTATATTTGCATTCCTTTTGAATATTATTGAGCAAAAAAGAAAAAAACAAAAACATAATAGAAAGAAATGATGAAAAGAAAAAGGAAAATTAAATTAAAACAAAAAGAAAAATTTTTCGGCAAAACCAATACCGCCAAAATATGAAATTTTGTTTAATTACCAGTTGGAAGAAAAAATTAAAACAATTAAAAATAAAAAATGGAAAACTACAACTCTTTTAGCGTGTCTGTTTGAAAAAATGAAATATTAAGCAACATTTTCAACAAATATACCCTTTCATTTACCTGTTACTAAAATCCGAAATTTTTCCTGCCACTTGCCTTTGGTATCCACCAAACCACTGATAAAATACCCTAAATTCACTCATACAAATTGGGTACGCCTTTATATGAATTCCGCAGTTACCAGATGATTCACAGCAATCGTCAAATGCAGTAGATCTAGGATTACCGCATACATCGTTCTTCAAAGTCAGAATAACTTTACGTCACTATTTGACGATCATCTTTTGATGTGTCAGCCTTTCAACCTCAACACTGTCAGCAGTCATGATTGCAAAAGCAGCTCCTCAAAAAAAAAAGTAAAATCGACAAGTAGGTAAAAAAAAAGATGGAAAAAAACTGAATAGTTTTTAGTCAATATTGCGGAAAGTAGTTATATTGCTCTGTTACACTGTTTTTCCGGATAAGGGCAGTCACCTTAAAATTAATGAAAAAGCGAGACGTAACTGCGATTACCTGTAATACTCATCAAACTTTTACATTAAATGATACTTATTTTTCTGATAAACGTAAAGCAAAACAACTGCTCTTCAGTAATAATTGTTAAATTGTTTCCCAAATCAAATTCTAAGAAGTGCATCACGAAACAATTTTTTAGAAGTTGTTCTATGCTGCTATGAATAACGCGAATTTTGAAGATACTTATATGGTCTAAAAAAAGCCGCGAAAGAGTACATTATTAACACCTGAACAAATCCCAATAAAATTGACAAGGCTCTAATTTTGCCAATTTAATGTGCACACAAATTTATGTATTTTTATTTTGAAAAAAAATTTTTTTAACATAATAATACGAGATATTTTTTTCTACGAATAAAATAAGATGGAGATCAGCATACGTAATTTAGTAGGAAATTCTGCTGTACTGCTAAGAAAAAAAAAATTATTTTTTTATAATTATAATTACGCTAATACATCACTGTCACTGGAAGTTTAGTCGATTTCTGTACTACGTTCAGAAAGAGAGAGATAGCAGCAGGCAGAGAGAAAATTCGTCGTTTAATGTAAGTTTCTAAACACATAACAACTCCTGCAATCTTCCTGACTTTACATCAACTAATTTTCTCTTTAACTGTTTCTGTTGACAGTGCTTACAGCACTACCAATTGAGAAAAGCTTTCTGACTTTCCTGATACTCAATTCACATTTATATCAGCTTTTTTTAGCGTTGCTATTTCGCGACCATGTCAAATGTAGATAACCGCAAAAGCTGGCATTCTTTTCTTGTATGGAACCATACATTTGACAGCGTCACCAAAGAGTTTACACGGTACTTCGTTCGGATGCCATTGCTGATCAGTCCATCGTCAAAGATCAAAGCAAGATAAAACGGTAATTCTGAACAGGCGGCTGCATAAATTTTACCCGTCTGTTTACGTGTATTAGAAAGGCAACCAATACGTTTGTTGCAGCTAAGATCTAAAAAATTTCAAGGCATAGCCAAAACCGGTGTCTTACACTCAGTTATCTTTCCAATTCACTTTACTGTTCTTTACTTCGTTCTTCTTTTTCTTTCTTTCGTTTTCCTCCATGTCTAAGATAAAACAAAACAAAATGAACATCACGTCCTGCTCCTATAAAGCTGCTATAAACATCCATTTTTCCGTTTACAACTTTTTTGCTTAAACAATGCAAAAAGTAGAAAAATAATTCAAATCCTTCCTTCTTTAGACACATTCCGTTTAGCCAGCTTAAATTTAGAGTATGAAAATCCTGATGGAAAGAGTCAAAGCACTTTTATACATATCGACTCTTCAGATTTTTTTCAATTTTTGCTAGTTTGTAGGACTTGATACTCGATTTCAAAATCAGAAGAGTTGACCTCAAAATGTGTGCCGACGGCAAAGTTAAACCGCTCTAAAGCGCAAAAAAAGATATCAAAGTTTCTATTAAAGATGGTCATTTTTAAGGAATTGCATTTCTGTTCGTTTGCAACAAATTTTTTAATTTTCACTTCAATTGAAAGGCTGTCTCCTGCAGACTCGGAAAAGTCATGAAATGCTTTTGCTGGCAACTTGCATAAAACTTTACAATAAGACCGAAAATCTAAACCGTTTTCTCTAAAAAACTTATATTTTAAACTTTCTAAATAAAATAGATTCCACACTAGCATAATTTTCTTTGAAACATATTTAAAAGCACAAGATGGTATTTTTATGGTTTCATAAGTGACGAAGTGATTATGAGAGTGGGTTCCGAAAAGCCTTTAGCCTATGCATCATTTTGCTACTACTGCAGTTAAGAATGTCCCTGTTTCAGTCCATATATTCCTACATTAAAACGTGCTTTAGTTCGAGTAATTTAGGTATAGGATTGAGAATTTTTTGCTTCTGAGCAATTTTAGTAAAATTTAAAAAAAATTTATTTGAGTTACTATTCAATATATACTACTTTAGTTCATTGCTCAATTTTTTTGACCAAAATATCTGACATTCAGTGTTGGCTGTTGATTTAAGTATTGTTTTGCTGTTATCTGATTCCTACACCACAACAATAACTTTTTCTGCACATTTCCGTAAACAAGTGCCATTCTGCTGTGACTCTGAGGTCCGTAAATTGCGAAATAAGATTCTGAAAGTTCTTCCAATATTTGTACTGCATGCAGTATCATCGAAAGAGTGAATAATGCTCACCAAATTTCACTTTCTTTTCATAAAGCACGAAAAGTGGTGTTGAAATACATTTTCAACTACCGGGTTATAAGAGAGGGGTTTTGACAGTACAACAAGCTTGTAGAGGCAGTGAAAGTAGAACAGTTTTTATCAGTGATATATAGTGCAACCATATTTGGTTTTCGTCTTTGTACCGCTTAATGGCCTTCTAAGAAATTATTTCTAGTTCTGCAGCAAAAGTGTAAATTGATACACTAATAGCAAAACGATGTTCACTATCAACAGCCAACACTGAATCTCAGTTCATTTGAAAGAGTTCAGTGATGAAGCAAAGCGATATTCACTGAAAAAGTGACCATAACAAAAATTTTTTCTAAATTTTACTATGATCGCTCAGAAGCAAAAAATTTCTAATCTTATACCTAAACTATTCAAACCAAAGCGTGTTTTAATACAACACTGTATGAATTAAAATAGGAAAATTGTCACTTGCACTAGCGACAAAATGGTGAATAAACTGAAAGTTTTTTGGAATCCAGTCTCAATACCCACATTTTAACTCATGATAGCATAAATATACCACTTTATTTTTAAAATATGTCACAAAAAAACTATGTTACTGTAAAGGGTCTTCTTTACAAGTTCCCGAAAATGACCATTTTTAACAGAAACCGTGTCTTTTTTTTTTCACTTTAGAACTATTTAGTTTTGCAGCCAGCACGTTTCTGTGGTAAACTTTTTTGATTTTAAGATCCGGTACAAAGTCTTACAAAGTAGCAAAAACTGAAAAAAAATTTCGGAGGTTGACTGGTTTCAAATGTTGCATATATAAAATACAACAATAGATATAAGAGTATCCTAAATAAATAACAATAATAATGTAGAAAAATGTAATTCCTATTTTCTGCAAAAATTTTACAGTAGCTGTAAAACTGTTTGCAAGCGTTTATACAGTTTTAATAATGTTACTGGAGTTCGTTGCGTTTTCCACCCTTTCAGATTAACCTCTCTGAAATATTTTATAAGAATGTTTTAGAAATTACAAAAATTATTTATGTATAAAGTGTAAATGTGAAAGTATATATCAGGGAAAGTGCAAATAGATAAATAAATAAAAGAAGAAAGAAACATACATATACGGTGTTGCAGAACACAGTTCCTGATTACAAACATTCATAAGTGAACTATCATTCCTGTTCCAAGTGGAAGTTTAACTTTTACATATTTACACAAATCCAATAAATTCCAATGTGCACTTCTTTAACTATTGGAAACATATCCCCACACATTCCACGTATACCTTAGGGAACAATACCTGAGAGATGAAAATATCATAGAGGTAGTTAATTTTTTGCTGTAGCGTTGTGATTCCGCTCACTAATGCTATACGTAATTGCCATTACTTTTTGTTTCAGGACTCAGTGAATGTAATATTAACGGAATCGAACATTATTTGCAAATGGCATTCACTCAAAATCGTGGGGACGATCAGTACTTCCTGTGAAATGACGCTAGGTAATCATCAAAACATTCTAGGGGCAGTTTAGGATCCTTTAGGATGCCCATTCGATGATAAAAACTTTAGGGAGTTTTATGAAGGATTTTGGGAAAGCAGTAAATGACTGTGATCTCCCTTAAATACTGCATTCCTTTTTTTTAAATAATTTGAAAGAACAGATTTACCAGGCACCAATGAACGATATCGTAGCTTCATGACACAGAATCGTTGATGCTGAAACATCGATCCTTCACGGTATAATGACCAATAAATGGATAAAGTCAGAACATATCCTGAGTGCCTTTTGGCCGGTGAAAGGAGCGCATGATGAAATTTACTGATTATTTGTTTGTACGGTGAAATTTGAACACCAAAATAAAATATGAATGTCCGTGTGTCGTGATTTCTGAATTACGCATGCTTGTACTAAGATGAATATATAAATAACACAGAAGAAATGATAAAATAATGTTTTTGATTTTCCCAAATAAAGAACAGTTAGTTTTGGTTGGAAAAAACAAGATTAATGTAATGCGGTTTTTCTTTCTCTGTAATCGCCTTCTTCGATAC